TACCATATTATTAATAAACATTGCTCAAAACCGTCATATGATGTATTTATTTTTACTTAAATGCCATCTTGTACAGTAGCAAATAAGTTTTACTTAAATCGCGTGTGAATCTTACGCGCACTCTTTTTTTAGCACACCTTGTACATATAAAGGCTAAAACTGAATATTGACGAATAACATTATTAAAATTAGATTTTTTTAATGTTTTCAAAAATTTCAAATTCAGAATGTTATTCAATTATGAAAACGCTGTTTTATACCACAGGACTTTCGTTACTTCCGTGTGTCGTTCCGGTGTCACTCCGGTGCCGTCCGGTTTCATTTAAATTCATTCATACTGCCAAAAGTAATAAATATATTTATAAAATAAATATATTTATATTTATTAAAATATTTTATATTTTGCTATCAGACTTTAACAAATATTTTCCTATATTACTTCTTAAATTGAACTTTTGATATAATTCAGGAACACATGTTCGTACAAACACGGTATTCAGCAGGGGTTTTTTAGAATTTCATACTTCAACGCAATATGTATGCGCTCAATCTACATAAATTGAAGCAAATTTATTACATAGAGTATTGCACCTTTATATGTAATATGAAAGTGCACCTATAAACATCAAAACATCTATTCAGTTGGCAGAAATATATGCGGAGACGTTTCTATAAGAAGTAATTCAGTTCACCTTGGTACTCATGTGTAATGAATTGAATAGTAAGAAGGGTTTGTCGTGTTTTACTCAAATCTAAAGCAGTTATATTATTCTAAATTAAATTTATTTTCATCTTATTTTTAACTTATCGTAGGGTAAGTTATTGTAATCGTCAGCAAATCGAAATTGACAATTTTTGCAGAACTTCACGTTGTGGAGGTTTCTGAACCTTTTGGCATATCTTAGAAAAAAATGGATGTGTTTGTATGTGTGGATACAATTTTTCGTCCACGTTTTCGGCCGCACAGATCAACCGATCTCAATGGTTCTAAAAATTTTGCTCCTTATTGATAGAGAGATGTGCTGATTAGTTATTGGCGAAGGCAGGTCCATTCATTCCAAAGATATGGAACCGACTTTGATGATCCAAAAAACATTCAATTTGTAATGAAGGTTAGATGGGGTGATTAGATTTTAGCAAAAGCAGGTCTAGCCGTTTTGGAGGTATTGGGGGGTTTTAGATTCGTAGAGTTTTAGATACGAAGATATGCAATGCTTTTGAGAGAACTGATTTGAATGATTCAAAAAACTTTCCGTTTGTGTTGACGAACACTTGCAGGAATTTGCCTTAAGACACGATGCCATACACCACTAGTAATTTTATTGTTTTATCTGTATCATTGAAATAGCAGTGGTGATTTTGCCATTTGACCCCCAATTTTGGCTTCAGATTCGTGTTCAGTGGTAAAAATCACATTGGACATCATATGCCGCACACCCAATACAGACAACTTGTATTTTTTTGGGGAACTGTGTTATTGTTTTTTTTTTATTTCTCAAACGTTCAATTTCGTTACGGGAAGTTCCAGGAATTAGGCTTAAGACACGATGCCTTGATTATTAAATTATGCATAAGTTAGTAATGTTTTAATTTTTAGTAAGTTTGAATAATGTTGTTCGGAGGTGGAGTTTAAGCATCCCTGTCGTGTTGACATAAGACTTGGGTTTATATATATATATATATATATATATATATATATGTGTGTGTGTGTCCGTGTGTTTGTATGTAGCAAAAGCGCCGTTATTAAGCTCTCTAATTGAGAGCTATTCATTTTCAAGTAGACACGATGTCGCGACATGTCACTTGTTTTCACAGGAGACGCGTGCGTTTACAAAGGAATTCGCCATGACATGAATTATTGCTCTAAAACGGTTAACAATAAGATTAATGGTCCACAGTTTAGTGAAAACGTAGTAGGAATATACCTAATAACTAACAAATTGAAAATAAACGAAGAAAAACATTAATTTGGACGTTGAAATTATTGCAGACAAAGCCAGAAGACGAAACTGACGAAGCTGATACAAATATTATGTTGTAAGTATATGTTAAAATATTTGTTAATACATACTTTACTTTTTTATTTTTCATTTTTTTTTATCATCCTTAGAAGGTAAATTTTATATTTATATTCCAATAAAATAGTTTTTATGTACACGCTCATCTTACGATAAAAACTTGACAGAAATTATGTTACAAGAAATTCTGGTGTTGTATGCACCGGACTCTACATCATAAAAGTTCTTAGGTTATACTTTCTAGAATCAAAACAAGCGATGATTTTTTAAATTAAATAAAGAAAAAAATCCATATATTTTGCAAAACAACTATCCTGTATAATAATAACCTGAATAGAAGAGAAAATGTATTCAAATGAAATCAAATGGTAATAGCAAATACACGCCAGGCTAATATTGTATAAGCTTGTAAATATAAAATTTTTAATTTCAATAATTTAATAACAAAAACTGTTGAATTTATAAGAAATAAAAATGATATTTATAGTTGAAACATATGGAATGTTTAATACAAAATTCATTTATAGAAAACAGTGCAAGATCTTTATATTTTTGCAATAAATAATACAAAAAATGCAACCAGTGGCAAAACAGATTAATCTGTTTCAACTATAAATATCAATTTTATTTTTTGTAAATTCAACGGATTTTGTTAATAAATGATTTAAATTAAAAATTCTATATTTAGTTATATGTTCCAACTTTAAATATCATCGTTATTTCTTATAAATTTTACGATTTTTGTTTATATTTTGTTTAAATTGGTCCATCATGTCTGTATCAATTGTATTTTATGTATCAAATATATAACTGAACTATGATTTTTAAAACGCATATTTTGATTATTTTTTAGCTCTATGATAACATTACAAAAAATACTGAATGAGCAAATCTCAATATTATTAATAAGTTAATTCTATAGGAAAGATAAAAATACTTCAAAACAACGAATACAAATTTAATATTCAATGCAAATTTATCAAAAATTAGCATGAGCGTTTTAGCTTTATAAGCTTCGCACTTTTCATAGCAAATAATACAAAAAATGCAATCAGAGGCAGAACACATTGTTCCACTAAGTATGTGTTTTGGAAATATATATCTAAAATATTTCTTATAATAAAGTTTCAAAAACTCATATTTTGTTTAATTGTTAGCTCTGTATTAACATTATATAATACTAAAAAAATCTGTTTTATCAAATTTTATGTTACGTTATACATTTAGTCTCTAAAAGCACAACGGTTTGCTATATCAGGCTGTATTTGTGTATTTCACACAATGTAAAAAACTTCTACCAGAAAAACGCTTATTTGAATTATTAATAAATACCTCACGTTCCAGATTACATCAATTTCCTACAACAAAAATATTCCTATCCCATAAAAATATACAGCATTAAGAATAATTCGTATTTATATTCCCGTTGCATTTGTTTACTATCCATTATTTAGAAACGGATCGGATGAAATCCATTCGATTTGTAAATCCGCGCTTCAGAAAAGCTTTCAGCGAAAATTGTCGGATTATTTTAATTGGAGGGATTCCTTCGATCATTCTATTTCTGCAGGTTGTCTCAATGTAGGAGCTTTCGATGTTATGATAGCAGGAGCTTTCTGTTCTCTCATTGAATAAATTCGCGAGGGCGGCCGATTGATACATTAGTGAATTAAAGGTGAGCCGGAATAAAGACGTTGCTGAGGATAAATGGATGGATTGAAGTGGTAAAAGATTTATGATTTTTCTCTGGATAAACAGGATTTAATAAATGATGTTTCCATTAAAAGAAACCACTTTAAATAATACCAAGGATATGCCTGAAATATTTACGACAATCCTGATAAAATAGTACAGTAGCAATTTAACCCTTTCCCGCAAATTGCAAGAAGGCGGCATCCGACTGGAAAAGGTAAATGTGGAAGAATATATTCCTTTATGCGGTCTAAGATGATTTTGTTATAAATGTAGATATCATTAACAATTAAAAAAAGATTTCTAAGTCTTAGCAAAAAAAAAAACATAGGTCTTGGTAATTTAGAATATTCAATTAAAAATGTATCAAGAAATCTTAATGTATCAAAAAAAATTTTTTTTTGCCAAAACTTTTGGTAAAACGCGATTTTTTATATCACACATATATGACTGACATGACCATATATCAAAACTATTTTTCTCCTTCTATCTAATTGCATATGTTAGACATATATGTCTCATGTAGACCTTTTTAGTGTCAGACACATGACTGACACGGCAATGAAAATATGCTATGCAAATACAGCAAATTTTGAAATGTTGCATTTTTATATTCTATTTGAACCCAAAGCAAAGATGGACATGCTACCATTAACTAATATGCATACAGCCAAGTGTAAAAATATGTTGTTTCTTATTTTCATGAAGTAGTAGAAATATTAGAAAAAACAGATATTATGACGAAAGTGTTGTGAATCACTGCTATAATTTGATAAATAATATAATTCTACGTTGAACATCAATAAAGTTCTGGTAAATTCTGTCGTCTGAAAAATTACATACGTCAAGAAACAGGTCATATTTAGTGTCCAGTCACAGTCAAAGAATTTTCTCATACAAATGCATCTCGAATGATTTAAATAATTACACTTAACTTAGAATTTGGACCAAGATCAAAAATAATTAATCACGACAGTTGGCTTTCAGTTTTTGAGTCGAAACCATCTTCAAAATGCAATCTTTCTATATTTTATGTAATAAAGTGTTAATTGTAGCAAACATCTATTATTTGATGGCAGCGGTGCGAATGAAATAAGTAAAATTATAGAATCTACAGCTTTGTTACCAATTATTATATATTTAATATTCTATTGATTATACTAGATAACATTAATAAAAAAAATTACCAAGTTTAAATCTCATTCATGCCCGTTTGTAATTATAACCGCCATTATAATTTTTCTTCGCCAAGTTCATGAATCGTAGAAAAAATAATAAAGTTTAACTCACCGTTGTATTCGAGTAGAGAGGATTCTGCAACAAAAAAAGTAAAAATTAACATTTAGAGTAATAGTAATAATAAATTAGAACACAAATGATTTACACATAAACTGATACTGTTCAACAGCACAAAAATTCGAAACCATCTGTTTTTAGTAAAATAGATTGGATACTCCTTAAATCATTAATTTTAACATAAATACAGCTATCTATATAATATAGCAGATTGCTAATGAAATTTATAATTTTACAGCATTGCTAATAAAATAAAAATTATAACTATTATTATTATATGACTGAAAATTCCAGTTAGCTCACTGGAGTATTTTTGCTTAAAATATAAATGACAATATCAAATCAATTTTATCAAATCAAATTGCAAAATTATTTCAAAAGTTTTATTTAACCCAACAATCTAAAAAAAATCTCAAGCTTAATTTTATAAATTATCTTACTTGTTAGATATTATAACAACATATAATAATAATAGTTATATTTTTTATTTTATTAGCAATGCTGTAAAATTATAAATTTCATTAGCAATCTGCTATATTATATAGATAGCTGTATTTATGTTAAAATTAATGATTTAAGGATAATAAAACATCAAACAAACATGCAAAAAAATTGTACATCTTACATTATTCAAATTTCCATTTTGATAAATATGGTCAATTTTAAACATATATAAAGCAAAAATATATAATAATTTGTCTGGAAAATATCAACGTAAAACCTGATTATTAGGTGTACCGGTTGAGTTGACCTACTACAACGAAACCTTTGACATCAAAGGTAAATCAGTACCTATAATAATGAATTTGTGAACTGAATCGGCAACTTGCTCGATTGTAACTACTATAAATCATGATTATTATAGGATGATCAGATTTAATCATAAAGTTATGCATTAGACAAAATTTCCTATTAGGAGGTATAGTATTATATGAAAATTCTAGTAGCAGTTTTAAGATTTGTTAACTAAGACAATGATATGCGCTTTCGGTGTAAATATTTTTAGAAGTCTTTCTACAATGTGTATTTTTTCACAGTATTAATTCCCAATTTCAAAATTAGAATTTTGTTCCAGACTATTAGCAAGCCTGCCTTTGTCTAATTTCTTTATTGGCCTATTAACATTAGGGGCCCCGTCTCGAAAATAATTACTTAGGCAAGATACCAATTCTTACTTAGATTCTGCTTAATGTGCAGTCATTAAACCTCACGACCTAATTTGAGTACATTAAATTGGTGTATTTCAGCGAGAACGGATATAATATTGCTTACTGTTTAATTACTTTTTGTAATTAATGTAATCCAATAGAACGAAGGAACCGATTGATTGTTCATTTATATTGGCAATTATTCTGCAAGCGACTGGAGTTGGCGGCGTCTAAGTCACTAAATTTCCGTTCTGCAATACAATTGATAGGGAAATCCATATTATCCAGCGGTACGTCGATTAAGTTTACTTGCTCGTCTTTACCACAGGTTCTAAACTTGTTCCAAACCCAAAAAAATGTTTCTTGAAATTACAACTTGGCTACGATAATCATAAATTTATTGGTCATTATTATCATAAACTAGATGGTAATGTCATAAAATGCAATGGAAAGTTATTGAAAGTTTTAAAAATGTTTCAAATTTGCACAATGAACATGAGCTTTATAATTAAAAATTCAAAATATCAATGAAATTTATTTATTTATCTAATTTTAAGCATAAAATACTGAAATATTATAACAATTTATAATATTTTAGACAATAAAATTCAATGACTTTTTAATAATAAAAAAAATATATATTTGTTCATATATAAAAATTTTGCACGACAAACATACGGCGTAAAATTTTTAAATTTAAAAGCGGAATTTGCTACGAAATTATTTGATCCCAATTCAAGAGTAAAATGTACTTGTATCATTGCAAAAATTCATAATATTAGAGAACAAAGTTTGTTTAATAGATAATAGAATGCAATGAATTTTGAAAACTCGCAATCCAAAATCGATTTTGACAATTTAAAAACCCTTCGAAAGACATTGGTTGAGAATTGTGCTGATTAGTTTTTTGGTAGAGATTAGCTAAGATTTAGAAAATCTTGTAATTATCTTGTAGAATTCTTTATTCGGTGATTTTTATGACACTTTTTTCGACGATAGATATCATGGTCTTATAGAACATACTAAAATATTACATTGGTTGAGAATCGTGCTGATTAGTTTTTAGTAGAGATTAGCCAAGATTAAAAAAAACTTGTAATTATCTTGTAGAATTTTTTATTCGGTGATTTTTATGAAACTTTTGTCGACGATATGGTCTTATAGAACATACTAAAATATTACATTGGTTGAGAATCGTGCTGATTAGTTTATGGTAAAGATTAGCCAAGATTAAGAAAATCTTGTAATTATCTTGTAGAATTTCTTATTCGGTGATTTTTATGAAACTTTTTTTGACGATAGATATCATGGTCTTATAGAACATACTAAAATATTACATTGATCGAGAAGCGTGCTGATTAGTTTTTAGTAAAAATTAGCCAAGATTAAGAAAATTTTGTAATTATCCTGTGGAATTTTTTATTCGGTAATTTTTATGAAACTTTTTTCGACGATAGATACCATGGTCTTCTAGAACATATTAAATATTACAGCCATACAAGTTTTTTTAATTTTGAAAATTCAGTAAATATTAAAAAAAAAACGAGTATTGTTTTTGTTATGTGTGTTAAACTTGGACCTTTTATCGACATTATCTTAAAAATGGCATAAGCGATTTTAAAAATTTAAAAGCCATTCGATGATACTTTGTAAGCACTCGCGTTAGTTGGTCTTTTGATACGATTGGCTGAGCCGTTTCTATAAAATTAGCAGTGAAGTGCAAAATATTTCGGCCGCGTGTTAGCCAAAAATTCTGATCAGATTTTGAAAATTCAAATACTGTTTAAAAGATATATTATTTGCAAATTGTACCGATAAGTTTTGGACATTTTTTTTTTAATCTTTACGATTAGTTAAGTTTAAGTCAAGTATCGTTTAATGCATAACTTACGGATAACAAACTCATACAAGCTCTTGAAGATGTCATGTTGCGTCCGATTATGTAAATTTATTATATATATATATATATATATATATATATATATATATCTTTCATCCCGCGACCCTGCATTTGACCCCTGAAAACAATTTTCATTTACTTCATATTGTTTTTCTACGAAATGAGTTCGTGACAAAAGCAGATTCGGAACAACAGGGGGTCGTACCGAAAGAAAATGGAGATGGATCACGTTTGATTTCCTGTGACGTACAAGAACTTCGCCCTGTGTAGGTACATACAAAGGTTTTCCTGGGATTTATATAAACGAATACCACACACACCACAATCGTAGAACCGATGGAATGCTCTCGATATATTATTGCCGATTCCTGAATCAGCAAGCTGCCGGCATTTTCGGTTATCGGAATTAACAATTAATGAACGCCATTTGTGTTTTACGAGCCTAAATTATTTGCAACGGACAGGTAGGAAATTATAGACCGTTACGATTTCTCTGGTGGAGCATGGAGGAGAAATTCGCTTAGGTATTCGGAAATTAAAATTGGAAAATTCGTTATGATGAGGTTTTTTTAGTTCTATAGCTATATTTTTTCAGTAATTAAAAGCAGTAATTGAAAAAAGCAATATCACGATTGCCAGAGATCGAGATTGGATCCTGATCGGATATGCAATAGGCACGGATAATTAGTTGTGATATTAAATAAGGAGATGGTTGACACATAATATGAAATTATAATAGATTTGTTTTCTTTGACATTAAAATATATTGAGATGACTAACACGTCTTTATCATTTACTAAATTCTAATTCAACATGTTCTTAAGAGGGTATTCTAGTGTAGAGCGATGAATTTTAGTTCATTTTAAAGTGTCGTAAAAGAAATCAATTAATGTTTTACCACTTGTTTATTAATATTATTAAAATACAAAATTAAAAAATAAAAAAGTTGAAAATTGTAAGGACTGCCAGTTGATGAAGTGGGTGGTCTCAAAAAATTGGCTCCTTAGTCTTGACATGATTTCAGCCCTCCTACCCATCAGAAATGCAAATAATAAGAAAATTATTCATCTACAATAATGTCGCAATCGCCCGAACTAGCGATGAGTAATAATTTTTTTTTACAAATTGGTGACTGTTTGAAAAAAAGTGTTTTTTTACTGTTTTTGTGAGTTTCTCGAATTTTTTAAAAATAGTAAAAGTTGGAATTTGGGGATAATCCAAGTTCAGGCTATAGATAGGTCTATAAACAGGACTCTCTGAACATGTTCAGGACTCTCTGAACACTTCAAGTGAATCGGTCGATTAAAACTCGAGAAATCGTATCAACAGTACTGAAAAAGTCAGTTCTGAGAAAAACGCATTTAGAGTTTTGCATGAAGCCGAACCAGTATGGAGACCGAGTCAGTAAAATGCCTATATCTCCGAAAATAATTCAAATTTTTAAAAACCTTCTCGTAACCATATTCTTAGATAAATAAACTTTGAAAATATGAAATAAAAAAAATCGATTTTTTTGAATTCCCACACTAGAATACCCCCTAAACTAACTTGGTTTTGTATGAGAGAAAATATTATATTTATATTTTATTATTAACTCGTGCCACCATAAATTTAAAACAAGAACAAGAATTACTTGTTGAATTATTCTGTCACCAATAATATTTTATTAATATGTGATTCAAATAGAAAGTAAGAAAACATTATTGAAGCAAAAAGTAAATTGATTTGCTTAATGTTAGTTGACATATTGAATATAATCATAAATAATTTGCTCGTTTATATGCGAACAGGTTTATCTAATAGCTATCAATTGTAATTTGTTTCTAATGATATATTATAGTACCTAACTGGTAATGGTAAAATAACATGTCTTACAAATATAATTTAATATTATTACAGTACTATATGGTGTAGATAATTCACAGTTCCATTTCAAATTACATTACAAAATTCGTATCGTGATCTATGGA